TTGATGGTTTTAACTTTTGAAAGTTAGTATCTGTTGTTTTGCTAGTCTTTGTAGGACCTGTGGCTTTCAGGTTAGACTCAATATTTTTAACTTGGACCTCACTATTCTTGTCCACTTTGGAAGACAGTTTATCTGGCATTTTAAATGATGGGACTGTGTCCTTTAATGTCTGTTCAACTTTTCGAACAGGTTCTGGTTTAGAAATTAACTCTGGAGTTGTGATCCCTGCTACTAACTTATTGTCCGCTTGTTTAGTTTTATTTAATGCATTCTGTTTGACACACTCTTGGTTTGTTTTACTTGTGCCTCCAGACTGAACAGTTTGCTTCTCTTCTTTTTGTGTACCAGTCACTTCAATATTTTTGACGTTCTCGCTTAGTTGTGTACTCGTTTTCGGTTGTTTAATATCTGAATTCTGAGGATTTTTCACACTGAGCACCTTGGTATCAGTCCCCTTATTTGTTTCGGATGAACTCTTTGCAATGTCTGAAACAATCCGGTCCTGAGAGGAGGAAGACTTCTCATGACCTTGAGAGGTTAGATTACTGCTTGTCTCTTTCTCAAACCCAACAGAAGACTTTTCTTGAACAACATTTGGGAGCTTGTCAGATGTAACTTGCACCTTTGATTCTGTTGAATCCAGTACATTTGATTCTAAATGTTGTGCTTGGAATTGCAAATTGGTGTTTTCTGAAAGCGACACATCCAGTTTGTCTTTAGTTTCAGCAGAACCTGAGTCTTCACCCTTCTTTTCAGACCAGGGTTCTGACTGTTTTGCTGTCTTGGGTGTTGTGGAAACATCATCTGCATTAGAAAGAACAGGTGCCTCTTTCTCCAATCCAGGACATTTCTCTTTGTCAACATCTGACTTTTCATCTGTAACCAGGACATGTGATTTTGATGAAGGTGATAGATTTGATTCAGTCTGTTGTATTAGAGTTTGCATATTGTTGCTGTCTGAAAGCAACACATCCAGTTTGACGTTGGTTTCAGCAGAACCAGAGTCTTTTTCCTTCTTTTCAGAAGAGGGTTCTGATTTTTTAGCTGTTGTGGATGTTGTGGAAATATCATCTGCATTAGAAAGAACACGTGTCTCTTTCTCCAATTTAACACATTTCTTTTTGACAGCATCTGACTTTTTATCTGTAATTTGCACATGTGACTCTGTCTTAGGTGGTAGACTTAATTCGGTCTGTTGCTTTAAGGATTGGATATTGTTGTTTTCAGAAAGCAACACATCCAGTTTGGCTTTGGTTTCAGCAGAAGCAGTGTCTTCACCCTTCTTTTCAGAAGAAGTTCTTAATTGTTTAGCTGTCTTAGGTGTAGAGGACATTTCATCTGAATTAGAAGGAACACATTCCTCTTTCGTTAAATCAAGAATTTTTTCTTCGTCAAAATCTGACTGCTTATCTGTAATCTGGACGCATGTTTCTGATGAAGCTGGTAGATTTGATTCGGTCTGTTGTTTTAGTGATTGCATATTTTTGTTTTGTGAAAGCGACACATCTAGTTTGACGTTGGGTTCAGCGTTACCAAATTTTTCATCTTTTGTTTCAGAAGTGGCTTTCGATTCTTTGCAAATACCTTGAGCACTCAGATTACTGGTTGTGTCATGGCTCATAGCAGGTATTGAGGAAATGTCTTTTTTAGTAAGGCCAGAGTTCTCTTTCTTGAAACCAGTCAGTGGCTTTTCTTTGATAGGTTGCTTATCTGGTACATCCTGATCTAAGGAAGATGGTAAAGTTGACTCTGTCTGTTGTTTTTCAAAGTGTGAATCATTCTTCTCTAAAAGTGATGCATCCAGTGTGACTTTGGTCTCAGCAGCATCAGATTTGGCACGCTTTGATTCAGAACAAGCTTTTGACTGTTTTGCCATCTTGAAAACTGTGGAAATTTCATCTGCATTATCAAGGGCACATGTCTCTTTCTCAAACCCAACAAAATCATTTTCTTTGAAAATATCCGTCTTGGTATTTAATGAAACTTGCACATTTGAGCCTGCCGGAAGTGACAGATCTGATTCTGTCTGCTGATTTTTCTTCACTAAAAGTGACACATCTGGTGTGTCTGTGGACTCACAGCTTTCACTCTGTGTTTCAGAAATTTCTTTTGACTGTGTCATTTCAGATTCTACTGCATCAGATTTTACAGCAGCTGTGGGTGTAATGGACAAATTTGTTGTCTTCACATCTATTTTTGTATCTGCAGCTGCAGCTGGCTCTGCCTTCCTAAAATCTTTCCTGGGCTTGAGTTTAGTGGGACTTTTGAGACGTGGTGAGCCTGGCTGTAAAACACCCACCTCCTTAACAGGGCTTTTCAGTTTGAGCTCTGGTGATATCCTGGCCGCTACATTCCCAGTGGCTTGATCACTCTTGGAGGATTTGCCATCACTGACAGGACCGTTAGACACTGATGACTCATTTCTTTCTGGCTTGGTAAGTGGCAGTGAGGCTGGTCCACATGACTCATTCTGCCCACGGGACACTTCTCCATCTGAGGGCTGTTTCAGAGGGCTTGTTGGTGTCGTTCGAGGTAGCTTCCTTCCTGTTGGTGACACATCAGTCATGATTTTTCTTGGACTTTTTGGCCCGCTTAGCTGGGTTTCATTCACTGGCTTCTCCTTTTCAATCTTATGCTCTGTTTGGTCAATGCCAGTTGCTGAGGAAGAGGGTTTTGCCTCTGTTTTGTTGCCAGTGTCGCCTGATTTGACTTTACTCTTTAAATAAGGAGAACTAATCTTTGATGTCAGAGCTCTGTCACTGACAACTGTTGGTTGTGTTTTAGACTTTTGGATTTCTTTAACTGATTTGAATTCAGTGTTAAGCTTTGTTGAACCTGAATTCTCTGGTGAAGATGGGGAGGATGGGGATTTATCTTCAGAAAATGATTGTTTAAGACTTCGTTCTCTTTTAGGCTTTGAAACAGAAGCCTGTTCTTTTGTAGGTTGAGAGGTTTTTGATGTTATCGAGGCGTCCAAAACATCCTTTTCTTCAAGTCTTTTAGTTGGTGACATTTTCTGCACTGGGCTTATTGATCCAGTCTCAGTCTGACGTTTGGTGGACATTGATCTTTCAGCTTCTGTAGACACACTATATACAGTGACAACCTCAAGCACTTTATTTGGTTTGACCTGAACCTCTGGTGTGCTTTTCTTAGGAATTTTGGTCTTGATTTCAGTTGGACTATTAAGTGTTACAGACTGGTCCTTTTCTGTCGGAGATTTAATCTCTTTTTGATCTGTCTGCTTCTGTGAAATCCTACGTACTGGAGCATCCTCTATCTTTGATGCCTCGGAGAAGAGTTTTATACGAGACATTACACTCTTTGTTTTAGGCGCAACTTGAGGTGGAGGGTTCTTTAATTTAATTCCCCCATTTGGTCCACTGCTGGCTCTGTCCATACGTTTGGTTGGTACAGATGAGTTTTGTTGACTGCTCATCACAGTATTAAATGGTACTTTATTAAGCGGCATTTCTGGGGAATCAAATTCCTCCCTGGAGTAGGTATCTTCTCTATTATCAGTGGAAAGTTCAAAGGGGTTCTCTACATCCTTATCAAGAGACTGCTCTTGCACAAAAACATCTTCTGCTGACTCATCTGTCTGTTGGTTGGACTGCTTGACATTCCCGCTTTTGGGGTTTGGTAATCTGTGAAAAGATATAAGTCAACAGCAATGTTAGGAGACAAGTATGGGAGGAGCCATGCATTCATATGCTTTCAACAGCATGCATCACATTAACAAGAAATTATTTGAATTCTTCAGCCATTAAAACAAAAAAACTTGTGTGAACCATCACATAGATGCATATTTCTCGAGCTCAAGAGCTCAAACTATTTCAGATCATTTTTTAAGAGTGTGTTTGATCACATTTATAACCATGGGATGAACATTGTACATCATTGCAACTTGTAAAATGTATAACAAGGAAAAATATCAGTTATGTAGGCTTAATATTACTCAGCTAAAAAGATTATTGACATGTGAACTTGCACAGAATAATTCAGGTACATTTATTTTGTGCTGCTTAAAGACAAATAATTAAAACTACTGTTATAAAAACAAAGTAATCCCTCCCTTAACAGCAAATTACATACTGTAGAGGGATTATCATTGTACATGTGTTGATTTATTTGATCACAAATGTGCATGGAGACACAATGAACAATGCAATAATGAAATAGCAGGTTTTTTACATTCCTCAACAAACATTTATGGTTGTTTGGAACCTTCTGCTCACCAAAGCAATGCATTTTTGTTTCCACAGAAATATTAAGCAGCACAAATGTTTTCAACATTAATAATATTAAGTATGTTTCTACTGTATCTGATTGCCATTAATATACTAAACTTAAATTCAACAAATGTGACACTAAAAACTGGACCAAAATTCAGTTTTGCCATTGAAAGGAAAGTTTCACATTTCAAAAAGTTTAAAGTAAAATAAATGTACAGTAGCATCAATGGGGAAAAGAGACTTTAATAGACCCCAGGGTTTTGAATGGCACTGTATTTATATACACACACAGCTACGAAAATCTATGAAAAGATCTAAGTCATTGTTCATCTAATACTCAAAATCATGGGAACCCGAGTGTCATATTGCACAGAGTAATGAGCACTGTATAGACTGAACAAAGGCCTTGGCTGCTCAGTAACCCAACACACAACACAAGCGTACTTACATTTTCACCTTAACCTGCTGTACATTCTGCGTTATATCCAAGTTAGTCCCACTTTGGCTCTCAGCTTGTTCCTCCCCGTCTAGGCTTGACTGCGAACCAACAAAAACTCGTTTAGCGAAGACTTTATCGCTCTCTGACAGTTTGAGGCTTCTGCGTTTCACTTCACCGCTCTCAGAATGCAACTGCTCAGGAGTAAATCCCTCTGGAGTTTCCTTCTCTGGTACTTCAGTGCTTTCTTTTGAAGCATGTGAGGTTTTGTTTGGATCTGGAGCTCTAGAAGGAGCAGGAATGTTGCTGGGAGCTTTACCGAGGGCAGAGTAACTCTCAACAGGGCAGGTCAGAGCAGCTTGTAAAGAAGAAAGTGAGTCAGTAATGGAGCTCTCACTCTCCTCCTCTGTCAGGTGAGTTTCCGCCCATTCAGCTCTGTGTATTTGTCCAGGGGAGGGAGAAAATTGAGCTGACCTCTCCTGTGCCTGAGGGGGAATGGTGTTTGTCGGGGTGAGATGTTCATTATTGCTGTCTTGACTGCTTAGTTTGCGTGATTTCCGTTTGCTGTTGTTTTTCTTCCCCATGCTATCTGATTCTTTCTGTGCTTCAGTCTGATTGTCAGAGGACGATGAGGTTCTGGACTGTGATCCCAGAGTCACTCCAACTAGTGCTGTGAAATTCCCGCCGCTTGTGATGGTGGGTTTTAAAACAGTCTTTTTACTCTCTGTCCCACCTGAGAGTGCAGAGGACTTTGGCGTGTCAGGGGTGTGTATAGGAATGTCTGCACATTTCTTTATTGTCGTGTCTGTTGTCTCCTCCAGGTACACCCTGAGCTTTCTGTTCACTTCCTTCACCAGATCTTCAGTCTTCTTGTCGCCAGATGTCTCAGCCTTGCTGACTTTAATCACTTCCACCTCTTTCACGCTCCCTCGTCCACTACTTCCACTGTCTGCAAACGGTAAGTCTCCTCCATCTGCAACAAGGGAGGCTACGCTACACACACTGGGACTTCGGTTCTCTGAGCTAAATACTGAATCTTCAGTCTCTCCGTGCTTAGTCTTTCTCAGTTCCGCAGATCCTGAGAACTTGGTCTGACTGTTTGCCTCTGGCAAAACATTTTCAGATGAGACATCCGTCTGATCTTTGGTTTTACTTGTTCTCTTTTTAAAAATACTTCCAATAAATCGATCGAAAACTGTTTTCTCTTCTGAACTCTGAAAGTACAAGAAAGACAAAAAACTGTAAGAAGATGTAAATAAATAGGTCCAATACAAACACGTTTAATGTACATTAGAATAAGTAGTTTAATTAAATCTTTTGCTTTGTTTTTTTTTTTTTTTTGGGGGGGGGGGGGGGGGGGGGGCAAAATTTACTATCACACATTTTACCCTAATTTACAAAAGACACTTAAAAATGTATTTAAATAACAACAGTTTATAAAAAAAATGTCAGACATATTTAAAACATTAAAAAATCATACTGACCTTACACTTTTGACTGGTAGTGTAAATTAAAATGGAGCGTTATTTCACAGATATTTGAAAATTATAAAAGTAGACACAAGTTGAATTTAATAAACGTTTGTGTATATAAAATCCCTTATGTAAATTTTATGTGATGCAATCATTAAAATGAGATGCCTACTATCCTAATACAGATTTCAGATATTTGCATACTATGTGCAGATTGCACAACTGTGCAGGTATCAGTTAAAATATTTGGATTATTAGCAATTTTAGTTCTATTAGTTTCCAATGTTTTATAAATGGACAAATGGACAATACACAAAAACTAAAAAAAAGCAGTCAGAGTGTATTTCAGTGGAAGTCATATCCTAACATTTATTGATTTACTTTTTACATATTCAAAAATATGCCAATTAAAGAGTCACTACTGCATTATTTGCTTTCCCAGCAACCTTGTTTTACCTTTTTTCAAATGTTTGTGGAAAAAATAAAAATCTACTGGATGCAATACATTTTTACATATTTATTTGCTCAATGCAAAAGCAGGAGGAACTATGGTAACCAGTTTGTTTTCACCCACATGTGAGCAGCACTTCCTATCTATGTATCAGCTTATCATAACTTACTACTACAGTCCAATAAAAATAAAAGCATAACCTTACTTGCATAAGGATTCAACATACTGTAGGAAAGCAATCCACTTACAATTATTAATGGAATTATGTCAAATGTTGACTTGAGACAAGCCCCAAAACATCCTTTTTACAATCTGAGGGTTTCAAAATGTGTACATGAGACCAACCCAGGCTTGGCAAGCATGAGTAATGTGCAAGATCGTACAGTTCCCCGAGAACAAGAGGAAACATTAAAACAGAACATTCAAGTCAGTGCAGAACCCTAATTATTAGACAATAATCCTTCACATCCTTGAGATTCATAACGGTACAGCAGAAATCCATCCTATTACAACACAACAATTATTTTACTGAAATGTAAAAATATATATCATTTTGGAATAAATAAACTTCCATAGAAAATTATTAAGAATAATAAGCAATTTAACCATTATAATAATTTATTTTATTTACAAATTGGCATTAATCTATAATCTCAATATTCAGTCAATTTTAATTTAACTAAATAAAATATAAAACAGGCAAATAGAACATAGTTGAACATCAGCTCTTACATTTCAAGTAATTAAATGTGGTGGGGGACATCTGGCCCATCTTTCAGATTCATAAACATAAATACAAGCAGCGCCACGTTGACAAGAACATAAATCCAGTCACCCGCAGCAATTAAACGAAATGACACAAATCTGCATATAAAAAACTAACAGCACCCGAGGTGAAATGACTAACCTCAAACCTGGCCAATTCCTCCTTAATAATAGATGATTTTTTCCTCTACGGAGAGTTCTCTCTGAAACATGAACCTCCCTTCCTTTACCTCCACCTTCTAACTTCACAGATGTCCGATTCGTGAATGATTCTTTCCTCAGAGAGTCAATCGGTTTGCAAAACGAGTCGTTTATATTTTGAAGCTCAACCGGACTTCTTGTAAAACTCACTGCAATTTATACGGCTAAAAGTGTTTGAGTGAATCTATTTGACGATAGGGATGAAAGTTACTAATAATAATATACCCGAATCGCGAAATAATTACGAATAAAACATGATGAAAGGTGTTTTACCTTGGAAAATACAGATGCATACCTGAAACATGCTAAAAGCTTTCAATTGAGCAATGTATATAACGTTTAATTGATGACTGTTTTATATCTAGGTTGGATTACGGCGTTTTCAAACGGAGTCATATTATTTTATAATGATAATGGCACGTCAACGGCACGCCATGACGTAAAGAATCACTGAATCATTCTGAATAAACTCATTCGAAAGAACTGTTCAAAATACGCGATTCCCGGGATCACCAGAACTATTAAACTTTCGATAAATGTGGCGTCTCCAAACTGATTTATTCCTTGCTAGGCAGCTTTACGAACATGATAGTCGTGTTGCGATTCAGCCCAAACGCGTTAAAAACCAAACAGCACTCCCAAAACATGCTGACTAGATAGGCAGCTCGCTATGTTTTGGAACACAGTCAAAAACTTTCTGCAAAGCGCCATAAAATACCAAAACACATGAACTTTCCCTTCAGATTTATTTCAATTAATTCAATCTCCTTACCATTGTTATCCAGTTGAGGATCGAGTTTGCCCCTCTTTTTTACATATGCATCGAAATCAGGATTCAGAAGTGATAGTAGACCGTCCAAAGTTCTCAGCCATAAAAATCAGAGCACAAACACATAGCCTTGAGGTGATATTAATCCAGCACTCGATCACAATCGATATTCAAACCCTCTGCTTATTCAGTCGCCGTTCATCCGCAGACTGCACGAGCCGGAAAAATGACAAAACTTTTTGAAGTCGAAATCATTTTCTGTTTACTTTGGTGGCACCAGTCCAGGTGTATTGCAGGTTGTGCCACATATAAGTGAGCTCACATTAGAGCTATTGTGCAACTGGAAAAGTTAAACAACATTATTCATCCCCAGTCAATGTATGAAGAGCGACCACATCCAACAAAACGCCACACCCTTCCTCTCGATCCAGCGTGACTCTCTGCAGACCACTGACTGACTGGGCATTAATAACACCAATAACACAACTGATAATAATAATAATAATAATAATAATAATAATAATAATAATAATAATAATAATAATAATAATGAATGCATTATTACTTATTAATAATATTAATGTAATGATAATAAAATTATAATACATACACTGCTAATTTATTATTATTAACATTAATAATAATAAAGTTATTACATTTAGTTGTTAACTATTATACTATGTAGCCTATAGTTAGAAGACGATTAAAAATCTTCTAGCTATAATATTTAATTACTTCACTTATTTAAATAAATTTTTGCATTGTGCTTGCCAGATTTATTCTCTAACGCATTTATTTTAGCACCAAATGAAACTGACTTGAACTGGTTGACTGGATTGACAGTTTCAATTTACTAGAACGTCTATGTTGAGCTGCTTTGACACAATATACATTGTAAAAGCACTGTAGAAATAAACATGAATTGAACTGAACCTGAGTGAATAAAATGAAATAATTTGAATAAACTTGGTAAAGAAAAAATGGTTACATTTATTTATTTATTCAGTCCCAAGTTGTGTAACATGAGAACTATACAGAGGGTTTTCACACTGAGGAAAACCTGTTTTGGTTCCCAAAGGATCTTTAATTAATATGTTATTTCTTTTTTCATAGATTGCAAGCTCGTAGCCAGGGGGGGTCGAGTGGTTCAAAAGACACACCCCTCACTGACAAAGGTCAAGAATTTGTCCTGTACATGAGCTCATTTGTCCTACTTTGACTGCTATACCGACATGAATTGTGAAAATAACTCATCAAAGAAGGCTTAAGACAGAGAAGAATCTGACGTAAGTGAAGTCATCTTTCAATACTGACCAACTGTATTGTTGTTAAATAGCGAAAACATTTTACAAGTAACTTTTATTCAACATCTTGGACCTTATTCTTAAAAGAATAAATTACCAATAAATTACTTTTTACCAATACTTTTTGGTCTGAAGCACCAAAAGTTAATTTTGAAGCACATAAAGGTTATGTTTTAATACTAGTAGGGCTATTGTTGTTATCCATGAATTTTCAAATGTACTTTTTACAAGAAACACTAGAAAAATCAGGAAGCTCTACATTATTATTATTATTATTATTATTATTATTATTATTATTATTCCCAGTGATGGGTTGCAGCTGGAAGGGCATCCTTTGCATAAAACATATGCTCAATAAGTTGGCGGTTCATTCCGCTGTGGCGATCCCTGAATAATAAAGGGACTAAGCTGAAAAGAAAATGAATGAATGAATGATTAAATTAATTATTATTATAGTCATTATGATTATTATGTTTAATTTTTAACTATTCAAGTGGCCAAATACTGACAGGAATGTTAAATGTGCTGGGCAGTTTGTTATTTGCCTAATAAATGACAATTTACTCAGCCATAATAGGCAGTTTTTTTTAAGTCTTTACAGATTTCTCTTTTCCCCAATGATATATGATGTGGTAAATTTGTTTTTAAAAAATAATACATATAAAGTATTGTTCTTTTTTAAATATTTCTCTGTTCATAATCTTTAGGAAATGTTTTTGATAAATCAAAACGTGTTGTTATGATGACCACCCGACAAGCTAGTCCAGCTAAAAATAGTGCTCAAAATGTCATTAAATGCACTATTTAAACCTTGTAGTTAAATAGAAAATGAAGCAAATAACTGCAAAAATGTCCACCCCTTTCACCAGGCTGGCTACGGCCCTGGATTGTATTACTCTGCAGACTTTAAGTGGAATAAACTTTACGTCGAATAAAATGTTGCTTCTTCATGGAACCACCAATTTCAATTAAGAACCTTTACTTTTAAAAGTGTAACTTAAATATAATTCTAATAAATTCTATATTGCTTTGGGTGAAAACCATCTGAAAAGTGTAACATAAAGCATGCGTGACTGCTAATAGAAGGTGTGGTCTTTTGTTGTTTGTTTGGCATCACGTCCACAGAGGGATAAAACCTTAAGGTTGTCTTTGTCTTGAACAGCAAAAAGACCAGCTCTCCTTACCACTGACATTAAGGAGTTTGTTTGACCTCACTATTGTGTGACTTTAACCTTCCTTCAACCCAGAAGGTCAAACTGAACACTCTAATTATTTGTTCAACTACTGTAACTAAAAGCTCTGATAAACTGACACCCAATATCTCAAATTATGTGGGTAATGATCAACCTGACTAAACAACACTGAAAAATGCAGAGCTCATCACTCAAACATAAACATATTGCAAGGTTCAAATATGTTTATATATGTTTCTTTATATGGTTGTTAACAAATGGCTAAACTTGTACAAAAAAGGGATAATAATATGCTTACTTGTGCATTTCACTACAAATTATGTTGCAGTATGTGACGTGTACACCAAAATCTCTCCTGCATATAAATTAAATGTACAACATCTCTATTTTCATGCATAATATCCTGTACAAATTTCTCTTGTACACAAAACCATGTGCATTTTTAATTCATGTAAATTTTTAAGTAAATGTTTCGTACAATCTCAGTTTATTTGTATGTGTATTCAACCCTTTACATTAGTTATAGTATTTATATGTATAGTCAGAAGGTTAAATCATGTTTATTTTCTTATTCTGTATTATTTCATCCTTTTATTTATGTTGAACTATTATGTAGCAGCATGGTTCAACGCATGACATTCCAATCCACTATATCAATCTAAATAAGATAGGAATGTGCATATTTGTATAAGTAAATGTGTCAGTCTTGATTTTCAAGAATAAACAGGAGTTGGTTTTGTTCAGCCTGTGCTGCCCTCTACTGGCTCAATCAAAACCTCACAACACAAAAGCTCTTCCTGTATACAGTACCAAAGGAACTGAAACAGGCCACTACATCAAGAAAATAACTTTAAACATCTATTTCACAAACCATTTCCTCTAAATAGAATAATCTTTTTTCAGCAGCTGCGTTTTACTAATTATATTAACCCTTTATTGGGCAAAGAACCACATATGATATCTTCATTGACACTGAGTACAACATACTGTATACAGTTGAAGTCAGAATAAATTACCCTCCTGAATTATTAGCCCACCTGAATTATTAGCCCCCCTGTATAGTTCTGTTTAACGGAGAGAAGATTTTTTTTAAACACATTTCTGAATACAGTAGTTTTAATAACGGATTTATTTTATCTTTGCCATGATGACAGCACATAATACTCATTCATTCATTTTCTTTCGGCTAAGTCCCATAACTATCCTGGTGTCGCCACAGCGGAATGAACTGCCAATTTATCCAGCATATGTTTTATGCAGCAGATGCCCTTCCAGCTGCAAGCCATCACTGGCACACATCCAAACACTCTCATTAACACACATACACTACTTACAATTTAGCTTACCCAATTCATCTATACCACAACTCTTTGGACTTGTGGGGTACCCCGGAGCACCTGGAGGAAACCCACGTAAACGCAGGAAGAATATGCAAACTCTACTCAGAAATGCCAAGTACATAATATTAATATTAATATTAATATTTAGATAATATAAAGGCTTGACTAGGTAAATTCGGCTAGTTAGGGTAATTAGGCAAGTCGCTGTATAATGGTGGTTTGTTTCTTGGACAATCGAAATATAAATATAGCTTAAAGGGGCTAATAATATTGAACTTGAAATGGTTTTAAATAAAATCAAAAACTGCTTTGATTCTAGCGGAAATAAAACAAATAAAAAATATATATAAAGGGACATTTTACCAGAAACGTAGATTATCTGTCCCTCAAATAAAAACATAATACAGTGCATAAAAAGTATTTTATTCCAAATATTTCTAAAATGGACTGATGGTTGATTTCTGTGGGTCGTCTGTAAAGGAATATGCTATTCATTTGGTTTTCAGATTTTTGTTCCTTATTAAAAACACTTTTACAAATTTACAAACCCTGTCCTTGTCCTACGGCCAATTAAACTTACAGCTTTAAAAGTTTTGTTATGCTAAAAACCAAAAAAAGTTATAAATAATACATTTATAATTTACTAAAAAGTTATTTCAGAAAAAACTTCAGAAATTGCAGGTTTAAGTTGTTATCATTCACATCAATTATTTAAAAACAAGAAATTATAAATAAATTCTACAAATAAATACTATTCTTCAATTGTCCCCATGTTTTGTCAGTCCTGTCACATTTGCATTAAATGTAACATAAACTGAGTGCAATACACATTTAAGGCTATGACTCGGAACGTGACATCATTTGATGGAGAAGCTGACAGTGATCAAGGATGCGTTCTATCATTGAATTGTAGGATTTTATGCTGGTTTTTGTATGGATATTTTTGAGGATGACAAGCTTGTCACATGTTTATAAGTGAAAATGTAAGTTTCTGGTAGAATGTCTCATATTTAGATATACAGTTGAAGTCAGAATTATTAGTCCCCCTTTGAATTTATTTATTTATTTTTAATATTTACCAAATGATGTTTAACAGAGCAAGGACATTTTTAAAGTATGTCTGATAATATTTTTCTTTTGGACAAAGTCTTATTTGTTTTATTTCGGCTATAATAAAAGCAGTTTTTAAATTTAAAAAACCATTTTAAGGTCAAAATTATTAGCTCCTTTAAGCTATATTTTTTCGATAGTCTACAGAACAAATTATCGTTATAACTTGCCTAATTACCCTAACCTGCCTAGTTAAAATAATTAACCCACTTAAGCCTTTAAATGTCACTTTAAGCTGCATAGAAGTGTCTTGAAAAATATCTAGTCAAATATTATTTACTGTCATCATGGTAAAGATAAGATAATTCAGTTATTAGAAATGAGCTATTAAAACTATTCTGTTTAGAAATTTGTTGAAAAAATCTTCTCTCCGTTAAACAGAAATTGGGGGGGGGGAAAAATAAACAGAGGGTTAATAATTCAGAGGGGCTAATAATTCTGACTTCAACTGTATATTTATGTGCCCGGTTACTCTACAGGGATTTTCCAAAGGGTATTTCATTTCTCTCCGCCGTATTAAACCACAAGAAGCAATTAGTGTCTTTGATGAATTTTGAGAACACAATTCAGCCAATAAGTGTCCTCTAGAAAAGCCATGTAGAGCAAAATGAATTAAAAAAGTAAGTATATTTCCGGCAAACTGTGCGTGTACTAGTGTTTGCAGTATTGCGGAGGGAGCAGTGACTGCTGTAATCTGATCCTCTGATGAAAGTAGAGCAGCAGTTGCCCAAGGCTAAAGCAAACTAGTCTCAGCATAGCAAATCCAGTCAACTTCCTTTTCCTTACAGTGAACTTTACTGATGTAAGCAACACAGTATGCTCTTTCTGTTCAACCAGAGTGTAAAAAGAATTTTAAATATGTATACTGTATATACTGATGAACATGCACACGGTGCCCTATGTGATGTCCATTTATCATATCTGCTTCACCAGAACCACAGTTTTGCATTCAGACAAAGAGCTAGAGAGATAAAGAGAGAGTTCAGATGATGTGATTTGCTCTTACCTTTCTGTGTTTTTTTGTGGGAGAGGATGGACTCGAGATGATGTCCAGGCTCAGTAAGGAGTTGGTGCGTGAGCGCACTGGTGTGGGGCAGGTGTCTGTCATCAGATAGTTCTCCGTCTGGATGCTCACCTGATCAAAACTCCTGCGCAACAGAGAGACGATTGTTACTGAGGTTTGCGAAAACAATGACTCCCGGATGCCCCAGTTTGGAAACAGAGAGGTAAAGACGATAGTGGGGGGTTATAAGAGCGTTTCGTTTTTTCTGTTGTTGTTTTGATTAAAGGAAGTTTCACCTAAAAAAAAAAAAAACTCCTATAAATGAAATGTATCCAGAATGACTTCAGTTTACATCAAAAAAAGAAAAAAAAGAAAATTATAGAATACACTAGGTATATTAGAATAATATAATAATGTAACTTTTTTTTTTACTTTCAGTGGCAAAGATTTAAGCTGTGCTTCCAGTACACATTTTCCCCTCAAAATCAAGAGAAATTTTTTAATTACACTTAATTATAATATAAAAATATTAAATACTGCAAACGTTTATTTACTTTTAACATTAACATAAAATTAGGAGATAAACAGTGTTTTAAAATATAGTTTTTTTTATAATATAATATAATATAATATAATATAATATAATATAATATAATATAATATAATATAATATAATATAATATAATAAGTCCCTGTTTCGAGTCCCCCGTCTGGGTCATTTGGCATTTCTGTGTATAGTTTGCATATTCTCCCTGTATTCGCATGGGTTTCCTCCGGGTGCTCTAGTTTCCCCCACAGTCCAAAGAAATGCAGTAAAGGTGAATTGAAAGCTTAATTGGCCATAGTGTATTTGTGTGAATGAGTTTGTATGGATGTTTCCCAGTACTGGGCTGCAACTGGAAGGGCTGGATAAGTTGGCGGTTCATTCCTCTGTGGCGGCCCTGATGAATAAAGGGACTAAGCTGAAGGAAAATGAATGAATGAATGAATAATATAATATAGGAACGGTGCATTAAATTGAATTTAATATAATAGGGCTTTAAAACAAGGGAACCACTAGGGGGCCTCAAAAACCTTCTGGTGGCCCTTAACAAATTATTTAGGGAAAAAACAAATATTGAAATGTAAGGCAAAACACATGAAATGTTGCAATTTCTTATTTAAATTCCTATCAAAACTATGGTTTTGCTTTCTAATAAATAACATTTTCTGAAAACCTTAATGTATGATTAGAAACATATTTTAACCAAGCTCTAAAATATATTTTTTAGAATATTTTCATAAATTTTGTAACATGTTTGTTTTATAAAACGATTTTAAATTACATGGAATGCAGTAAACATTTTTTAATTTAAATATTTTCTAATATAATTACATTTCTTGAAAGAAGTGGTGTCATGCTCTCAGGTTCAGAACAAATATTAAGTTCAGCGATGGCCTTGTGTTTGCCCTGCTCACTATAATGTGTTATGCCTCTGCATCAAGTCTTTTAGCGTTACAGTGCATTTTGAAAAACTTATTCTAACAGCTAACAATAGCTGAATTGTCACTGGGGCTTTTATGCACTGCATTAAATACACATAAATAATAATAAATAAATAATAAATAATAAACAAAAATAAATAATTGCCATATAGGTGTCAAAAGGCTTCCTCCTTGTATATCATCTCAAATATTAATAACAGTTCTTAGAAAAAAAAATGCAATGCAGTCTAAATTCTCGAAACAAAAAGAGTCAGACTGTCTTGAAAACAAACTTCTAGGTATTGTGCAAGATAAATATTGGGCAACTGAATCTTTTTGCAACATATAACCACCAGGGAGCAGTCTGTAATTCATTTTGCTTAGCTTCAAAAATCTGCTATAGGCTTTGTTTTCACTTTTTGTTCACTATTCAGACATATGTGATACTACACATCCCAACAACACATTCAAATGAGATGCCCCATTATTTGACAATAAAAAAATAAGCAAAATGTCATATCACGTTTCAAAACAAAAGTGATTTGAGATTTCATTTGAATTTGATTAATCAGGCAGGAGAATGACTCTTCGAGTTTCACCAGCACATGTTACATTAAGAGCAAAATCTGTTGAAGTGAAAATGACAAAAATGCTCTATGACAGGTTGTGAATAATAAGTGAGAGGTGCACACAGATCAGCCTGCAGCGTGTCTGACTGATGGGGCGTTTCTGACCACAATCCAGAGTTCACACTCGACTCTTTACAAAGAAAGAGCTCGCGTTCATTCATTCAACTGTTTGGGTGTTGAATGCAATTAATGCCTAATGATTTTCTGGTTTCTTAATTGGATCCAACAGCCCTGCTTCATCCTGCTAGAACTGACATGTTGGTGTAAGACCTCCCAGGAATACATTTGTAAAAATCATGCTTTAGGATTTAGGCAGAATACACAGGCAGAATCAGGAAATCCAGTAAATATATCTGGTGAATGTTTAAGGCAAAATGGTACAGAATATGGCAAAACAAAATTTATGAATAATTCAAAATTAGGACTCTACAGTACATTTAATCTACTAGTGTCTGAATACTAAACCATAAAAATACTTTTTGAAAATAAATTCTGCATATTCTTCATGACTCCTATAAGTATAATGGCACAGCTTATTTTACTAGACACATATTTATGTATGAATGACACTTTTCATCATCTGTCAACATACACTCAACAATTAAGTTTAACCCAGTCAAAGGGTTTGTCCCTATTTTAACCAAATTTGTTTTGGAATGTCAGGATTACCAGCAATCTAGCATTTATAGATTGCTAGAGAACTACAAATCTGCCATTAAAATGAACAATACATCCCATCAAGCACCTCACACACACACACCAGTTCCACATTACACTTGATTACTCACACACTCATCATGGACTGATTAGCTGGACTACATTTTCACCTCTCATACACACACATATCGCTGAGTCTTGTTTAACCTGTAACTTCACAAAGTGTTTTCTAGTCCAGTCCTTCCGTGGTTCCTGACCCTTGGTTTGTTCTTTGTTTATCCTGTTCGCCACCTGCACCGACCTATGTCTGTGACCACGACTAGGCTTTAGGAGTACCCTCATGATACTGTTTGTTCCTGTTGACCATTGTCTGCCTGACTAATCTGTAAGCAAACTGCATTTGGACCCTCAACTCTGTTGTACCCCGGTTCCATTGTTACAAAGAACAAACAACTCGCCTTTCAAAACAACCCGCTTGTTCAATTTAAGCGGCAACCTCCCGATCTCCCTTGTGAAGCCAATATGGAAGTAACTGAAACTGCTATTCATCGACTGGCCTTTGGGGACTGGCTCTAGGAACTCCAGATGTTCACTGACTGCAATGCTAAATTGGGCAAATTTACAGCTGGTAAAAACATGTTTACATCCTAGTACAACAAATGGTTTTGGTACATATAGCTAATATTACCCTTCATGACAATTGTGAGGGGGTGAATTTTTTTATGACTCATCTGTTTCGTTTTTTAAGTTATATTAAGTCTGCATAATTAAGGGCGTGGCCACTTGAGTGAAAGCTAGGTCTTGATGGTCGCCGTCATGTCACCTCAGCTCACGGTTGGCTAGCCTACTTGTAGCTTCATTTGCGCTCTTTAGAATCCTATGGGTGATGTCACAGATATTTCGTGCATATCTTTTACAGTCTATGGTTCGGTTTCATTTAAAGAAATTACACCCCAAATATGGGCCTATCAATGAAAATTACAATAATAATGCAATAACTATGACTTTTTAGGTAACAAACACATTTTAATCACATTTATTTTTCAAAGGTGAAAAAACTCACTGGGGAAAAAAAAGCTTTTCTGAAATTGTATTTGTGTAAGCTGTAAAATCTAATTTACGTATTTTTAATTGCAAAATATGAAATGGCACAGATGATATAACATTAAAGTAAAGGTTTAATTATTTCAGGTAATTACTAAAGCTTTTTTTATTGTCGACATTTAACCTTTAGTCCAGACAAATTAGAGCAGAAAATGAACTGAAGCGCTTTCAGCTATACGGTTCAAAAGGGGTTAATATTTCAGCTTCCTCTCCGACTGTTTGAGCCTTCTGGGTAAACTAGAAATACATGATGTGGCATGTGTGTTAGCATGGGAAGCCATGATCTCAGGGCTATGGATGCTAACACAAACAACCTGAGGTGCCCGAGGCTTTTCTTATTTCACCTGAATAAGCTCATATCCAGTTCAAGACCTTCTTTCATCTGCAGACATCCAAGCCATCTCACTGCATACTCTCAGTTTTCTGTCTTTTCAGTCAACCAAGCTGGTTACAGAATGACCCAATTACGCTGAATCTCACTTTAAAATGAGATTGATGTAATATTATGACTCAATCGAGAAACGAACGGGATTTGTTGATCTGTATCTGACTGATAAAATTATGTGTACTGACCTGTCGCATATCCAGCCTGATTGTGCATCATAAAAACACATCATCTGGACCTGAGCGTTCTTTGTAACTCGCACTCCTCCTTTCAATTTGTCATTTAGTTTCTTTCTGAATGATAAAAGTGTCCGCCTGATCACGTCCAGTCAGCATTTGTCCCTGACACAACTGACAAATAAGAGCTTTCATCAACTAGTCCAAAAGTTTCATAAATATAGGAGTGGCAGGGCTTTGTGAACGATGGCTGTCTGATTCTCTGGAAATCTTGTGTGGTTTTTGGGAAAATGTGCTAATGTTTTTTTCAGTCTCACATACAACGAAATGATTATTAACTGTATTTTGTTCACTGAAATCAAGATGAAATAAATAAGAATGGAAAAATTAGCTTAGAGACTTGAATTTGAATGTTGAATTAACTTATATCATCTTTATTTTTATAGCGCTTTCTACAGATGAAGAAGAGATAATAAAAAGCCATGACAATATTTCCAATATCTCCTTGATAACTATAACTAAAATAAAACTGAAAGTACGAATATTACTCATACTAAAAAAGGTAAAGATAATTCAACTAAAACACATTACATTGCTCAATCTGAAACTGAAATTAAAAGCATATCATAATAAAAGCTGATTATTCAAACATTCATAAATATATTTATAATAATGCATAACTAATAATATAAAAACACAAACCAGTTCATAAATGCATCAAAGTAAATCTTAAGTTGTGTCTCAAGTGGCACACTATACACTATGCACTTATGCAATATGTACTTATGTACTTACACACTCAACAGCA